AGATTAAGAGTCACTTATGGTTTGTCTCCCTCCCAATCCCATCTTGTTTCATTTACTCTTCTCCTACCCCCTTAACCCCCCATGTTGCATCTCCTCTCCCTCATATCAGGGAGATCATATGATAGTTGTCTTTCTCCGATTGACTTATTTCGCTAAGGATGATACCCTCTAGTTCCATCCATGTCGTCGCAAAAGGCAAGATTTCATTTCTTTTGATGGCTGCATAGTATTCCATTGTGTATATATACCACATCTTCTTTATCCATTCGTCTGTTGATGGACATCTAGGTTCTTTCCATAGTTTGGCTATTGTAGACATTGCTGCTATAAACATTCGGGTGCACGTGCCCCTTTGGATCACTACGTTTGAAAGGATACTTAAGAATTTAATACGTGACAGGAGATGGTCTTTCTCATCAATAAAAAATGATTAATTATTTAATATATGGTGCTGCGGCAAGTAGTTAACCATTTAAGAGAAGTCACTATAGATTGCTGGTCTACCTTCTATAATAATCCCAAATAATTCCCATATAGGAAAATATTTAAATGTAAGCTTCAAATATTTCTGTCACATTGGTGAGGGTAAGGACTTGAACAATATTCTAGGAAAATGCTCATGGATATCTACGCAAAATTAACTTTGAGGATTCTTCTTCTTCTTCTTCTTCTTTTTCTAGTAGCAAAAACTTGGAAAATGTTTAAGCACTCAATAGTGAACATTAGGCTTAGATTAGGTTTAGCTGAGCATATTATACAACCAAAAAGAATGAGAAAGAGAAATGAAAGGCTGGGGGTAAGGGGAGGAGGAAAGAAGAGATTAAGACTCACATTTTCATACTTTATAATATGTATGTACATACCCACATGCACAAACAAAAAATGGTAAAGAGATAAAATGTTAACAGGGATGAAGTCACTAAAGTTATTTTCCTTTTGTTTCTCTATTTTTCACAAATAATATACATTTCTAAGAAAAAGTACAAATTCATTCTAAATAATTACAATGGATTATAAATGTCCCCAATCCTTTTTGGGACTCATCAGTAACAAAACCATATTTATGTCATAGACAAATTTTTATGAAGAGTAGAGAATAATAAAATAAAATGAAAATTTAGTCCTATGATAAAGATTAAAAGTGCCTGGGGCACCTGGGTGGCTCAGTCAGTTAAGCATCTGCCTTTGGCTCAAGTCTTAATCCCGGGATCCTGGGATTGAGCCCAGTGTCCAGGTCCAGGTCTAGGCTCCCTGTTCAGTGGGGAGTCTGCTTATACCTCTCCCTCTGCCCCACCTCCACCCCCTTGTGATCTTTCTCTGTCAAATAAATAAATAAAATCTTTTAAAAAAACACTTTACTGGGTTTTTTTTTTGTTTGTTTTTTGTTTTATCAGAGAAAGGAAGTCTCAAAGAGAAATTGAATATCTACTTTTCTATAGCCAAAGTATTATTACACTTAATTTTCTTCATCAAAAGATCAATTCTGCATTACTATAGACAGGAGGGTTTCAGTAGCAGGAGGAGAAGGTATTGCTAAGGTATCAAGGAGAGTGTGAAGGTCAATTATGGGAGATGACTAAAAATAATTTGGCCAGTTGTAGGTACCAATTATAACATACACTTCAAAATAATTACTTGGTGTGCTTAAATACTCTTTTGAAAACAAGTAACTAAATATGCAGCTATATTTTTATCACAGAAATGAAATCCATTTGTTCTTTCATTCCTTATTCTAAATATGCATAATGTAGGAATAAGTACACTGTGTATAAGTTGTGTGCATGATCCTAAAGGTGCATATGCGTCTTAAACCAGGAGATATGTCTTATTTATGATAAAGAGATAGACCCCAGATAGTGACCACTTTGAAAGGATGCATGGTAGTGAGGGAAGAAATTGTTTCACCAGGATTTTCATCACTAAATTTGGGATACAGTTTAGAAAATGCACTTGTATTGGGAGCGCTTTACAATTCTGATTTTTTACAGCAGCTACATAAATGCAAATTCAAGTAGAGGGCTGGAAGTATCTTCATTAGCACTGTCTCAAAGGTAGAAAGGGCTTTTGGCAGCAAAGGCATCTGTGCAACAGCATGAAGCTTTCACATTTCCACAAGTTGAAATTGATGGAAATGTATTGACATGCTTGGCTTCTTTCCTTTTTATTTCTTATATGAAAAAGTCTGTCTCTCTCCCCACTCTTCTCTCTCCCTCTCTCTTCGTCCCTCCCTTTAATCCCTTCCTTTTTTTTCCCACCCAAAGTCTTTATTCATTTGATGTTTTCCTTACCTAAAATTCATAACCTTGGAATGATAAATGAAACATATGGAGCTCATTTTACTAAGATATCTGTATAGGCTTCAACAAGGTGTTTACATAAAATGTTTGAGTAACAGTCTAAGGATGATCACTAGAAAACATTTAGTGGCTCTGTAGTCAGTGCTGTGGACTCCAAAAATCTACTTGCCTTCCTTGTTTTATTCTTCTTATTAAAATGGTTTACCAGCAATACAGCAAAGTATCATAGTTGAGAGTTCAGAAGTTCGCACCGGATAGTTTCAGGTGTGAGTACTGCTCTCTTTCTTACAATTTTGTGACTTGAGGCAAGGTCACATTCTACTTTGAACTCTCAATTTCCACTTATATAAAATGAGGTAGTAATCTAATATATTAAAGAATATTTACTGATGGTTAGATAAACTCATGCATAGGAAACTTTTAGAATATAACTGGCTGTAAGAAAGAGTTGGATAAATAATAGGCATTATTTCTAAAGCAATAATGACAGAAATATATTAAAAAAATGTTCTTCCCTTAGACAGTAAGGGGAATGTATGTGATAATGTGTCATGGAGTACTTGGAAAGTCAAATATGAGTAATGGGTAAACTTAGTAAGGAAAGACGCACTGTTGTCTGTTTTGATTATCATCACCCCCATGTATGAATCAACCAGTCCGTCCCAGCATTACGCTAAGCATAGCATAATCATTATTCTTATCCCTCAAAACAACATTTTATTAATGATACCTCATTGAATTTAAAACAAACAAACAAACAAACAAAAAAACAACTTCACAAGAGCACACTGTCAGGAAGAGAAACATCAGGCTTTGGTTCTGGATCCTGCCAATACTAAATCCCATTTTATTTCCATTACACCTCACAACACTTACTACTACAAGGAGTTTCTCCTTATCCCGGGACTTTGTCACACTGGTTTTGGGCTTTGAATCAGTGACAGTGCCCCCAGTGGACAAGGAGGAAAATGCATCAAGTATGGGCTGCTTGGTGGGTATATCTATTGTCAGGGCTGTCTGACTTGGTACGAGTAATGATGACCTAGGAACGTTCTTAGAAAAATGAGCTTTACAGAGGTGGTAACCAGCTTTAAACAACAGTAAATGGGTTTACTTTAGGCAAACTGCACTGGAAGGAGAGGAATAAATCAACACTGAGTAGAATTTTTCAGGGCTCAAGGAATAGACTCCAGTGTAACTTTGGCATTTTTGGAGCAGAGCGACCTTTGGGCTTTGCTTGAGCAAAGATCAAAACTGGCCTGTAGATAATTGAGAAATCCATATGATAAAGCAAGAGTAAATTCTGGGGGAGTATGCAAGCAGAATTTTGTGAAGTTGCTCATTCTTGCAGGCAGATTAATGGTACCAATCATAGTCCATTGCATGCTGAGGTTAGAAGACCGAGGGGGCAATGTATTGTAATCATAAGTGGTTTAGAGGTCCTGAAGTTAGGACCTACGGCAGGGTCCTAACTGATGGCTAATTCGGGGTTTCCTCTTGGGTATTTGGAATCCCAAGCAAACAGTTTTTGTCAGGCTTCTTTATGTATACATAATTTGAGCTAAAATCAGGATATCAGGCCTTCTTAGATAGCCTAATCTCATGCAGTCTTAGGAAACAAGTGATATATCAGGTAATGGGAGAAATCTGCATGTTAGGCTACCCTTCTGGAATGAGGGGGCTGCTATTGGGGCCAAGGATGATCCTCACAGGTATAAGTTCTAGAGCTTTTAGGACACCTGGTTAATACCATGCAGGGTAGGGGACTGGAGGACTGCCTAAATGGAAAAATGGGAATCAGGCACCCCTATGGGCTTGACACAAGCAGAACTGCCAGCCCTCTATCATCACCCAAAGAGGAGCTTAGGAAATTTTGAGGAAGGCCCTCCAGAGTACAGGGACTACTGAAGTGAAGGCTTTGTGGCAAGAACCCCCTGGCCTGGTTCTCAGGGTGTTACTTAGCTACTTCGTAATATTCTTATGAATAATACATGAAATAATGCATGCAGCTCCCTTAGGTATTTCTTCACAGATGGTTGGTACTCAATGTTAGATGTCTAATGACTTCCACCAGTATTCATGAGCTGGGTCAACTAAACCAATCTCTATACAAATTCCAGTTAGGCAGTTGTGTTTTTGTGGTGGTGGTGGTGGTATCTAATAGTTTTTAAGAAGTAAAGCATGGGGGCACCTTGGTGGTTCAGTCGGTTAAACGCCTACCTTTGGCTCAGGTCATGATCCCAGAGGTCCAGGGATCAAACCCTATGATTGGTTCCCCATTGAGCAGAGAGCCTGCTTTTCCCTCTCCCTCTGCCCCTCCCTCCTACTCCTGCTTGCATTCTCTCTCTCAAATAAATATATAAGTAAAAAAAAAAAAAAAAAAGTAAAGCATGATTCTAAGTGTTGGTCAGAATGTTTGCAGACTCTTTTCTCCTAAGCACCATGACTCATGTGATTCCCATGCCATCCTTTTTCTCTCTGAGGAGGAAACAAAAGGCCAAGGCACAAAAGTACACCCTTTTGTGCTGTCTGAAAGTAGTTGGTTGCATTTAGATGGTTCACAGTTGCAGGCTGTTGTTTGCTAAAACACACATCCTCTTTGGAGCTCAAGCCCTGTATTTTGAGCGAATTATCCTAAGTATAAATGAATCTCTCACATCCTGGTCGTGTGCTCTCTCATGTGGTGCTTTCCTTTCTTTCCAGATCCCCCAGATCAGTTACGCATCAACAGCACCTGAGTTAAGTGATGACCGACGCTACGACTTCTTCTCTCGTGTGGTCCCACCTGACTCCTTCCAAGCTCAGGCTATGGTGGACATTGTGAAGGCCCTAGGTTGGAATTATGTGTCTACCCTCGCATCTGAAGGGAGTTATGGAGAGAAAGGTGTGGAATCCTTCACACAGATTTCCAAAGAGGCAGGTAGGAAGAGATTGCATTGGTCAAATGACCATCTTCACATGTCTGTGGCTTGTAGTGTCCTTTCCAATCTTCGTCATATCAAACCAACACTGTAGATAATCACCATACCCCTACTCTCACATTCCTACTGCCTATTAAGTGAATTGGTAAAGACTTCATTTATAACACTTTGCCATTTTTGAAAAGAATATTTTCAAAAGTGTGAAACTGGAGTCCTTTAAGTTTTGGTAGCAGAAAGGAAGACAAGAGAATATGCACTTAATCTGGTACCTTACTTCTGTGTAATGAGTAATGGTGTGGATTGCAGGCTGCATACAGAAACCTGAGGTGGTGCTGCTGAATGTGCATGTCCTTCCTCTCTGCCCCTCTCTAAAATGCACAAATTGTTTAGAATTATGAGACTCTAATCATGGGGGGGCTCTTTGCTTTGAAGAAAAATGACAGTGACAACTCTGAATAACTTATCCACAACAAAGTTAAACAAATTATCTGGACAGTAGACTGTATTTAGCCAAATAATCTTTGGAACTTTATTTTGACAAAAACAGTTCAATTAAATAGTACTTGTAGTAGATTCTTTCATGTTTCATTAGTTCAAAATGGAAGTAATGAGTTCAAGTGTTTGGCCAGCTGGTTGCCATTGGGGAGATTTTGAAAAATGAGATAGAATCTTCACACTTCAGAATTCTGGCAATAAATATTGAGGCTTCCCCATATGGAAATATTGGATACAGTAAACATGTATTTTAAAGATGCAGGCTTGGGTATTCTTGTAAATTTCTTCATGCTAAAGGTAGGCCCTCAGTTTGGGTTGTAAGAATTTCATCTAATCTAAACCGTTATTGACTGGAATAGTTAGCTGACCGTTAAGGCAAACACACACACACAGGAAAGGTCCTTTTCATGAGGAAAGATGTCATAAATCCTGAAGACATGGTTTTGAATACTTGACTGTCAGACTACAGTTTCACCAAGACATGTTATGTGTTAGTGGATAGATGGTATATCTGCATGTGGCTACTGAAAAAGGGAGCCAGGGCTTGTATAAATTCCATGATTTTAACTCAGTCCCTTACTGTTTGCTCTAATTTGAATAATTCACTTGAGAACTGGGTCCTTTTTATACTTTTCCATCTGACTGAAGTGTTCTTACTCTTCATACCTTTGACTAGAAAACTCTTGACTGTTGACAGGTCTCATCCTAAATGCCATATCTAGGTTTATATATAAGCATACTCCAGACTTCCTTGGGTCTACCCACTTGGTTGTATTTTTAGTGTCTTCTCCCACAGCACTTGTCACATACTGGTATAATTTGTTGTTGTTGATGTTTTCTGTCTTGCCCCATAGACTCTAAGAGGAGATCCTGTCTGTCTCATTCACTACTACAGTCTCAGCCACAGTGTTTCTAAGGGAAACATACTCAGTATAATTCAGCCAGAAATTCTCTGATTAGGAAAGAAACCTTAAATCAGGGCTTGTGTCATGCATACTTTGATTTATAAACATCATTAATAGTTCACTTTGTGAATCTCCAAAGACATACCTTATCAGTTTTGATAACTACATTTTTTCTTTCTTTCTTTGTTTCTTTGACTCTTATTTTGATCCAAATGCTAGAAGCCAATTTAGAGAAATAACTAAAATATGAGCATAAAAGCCAATATAAAAGATAAAGAGAAAATATGGGTAAAATAATAAGATAAGGCTCAGAGATACAGTTCAGATATCATCTCATTCTACGTAATTGCTGCAAGTTGGTCTCAGATTTAATGCTGATCTTTGTGCGAGATAAAGCAAAGAGCAGTACCTATTTTGTTACAAAATTTAGTGTCCATGAGGTCAAAATCATGTTGATTGTTCAGTAAAGGACAGGAACAAGGCAAATGTTTGCTTTGGATCTTTTATAAAAGACTATATTTTATAGATAGGTCAGTGGTGAGTTTCATATGGTTGTTTATTCCTAGTGTCACTTCGTGAAAACTTAAGATACAATATCAGAGTCTGCTTTATAATGACACTGCAGAAAGGAAAAGCTGCAATATGGTGTGAACTCCAAGCTCATAATTTTTGTTAAACATACAGTGAAATGACCCTGTGCAGAAATAAAAATAGTATCATTGGCAGGCATTTCAGATGAGATTCTTCAGTTTAAGAGCCTTTGAATTTGGGGATGAGAGTGACTAAAAAGCCAGTTGCAGAATTTCAAGAAAATATTGAGGGTTCAGGTAACACCTCACAGATTGGTTCTTTTCCTATAAGTATTATGATATTCACTATGTATTTATAATAAATTTCATTGAAACCATAGCATATGTGCAATTAATATAAGTGAATGCACTCACGGGCTTAACGAACACCCTGTTCCTCTCCTAATGAAAAGAAAGGAAGGGATATTGCAACTTAAATGGCGTGCAAGACCTTTACTCTCCAATGTGTACATTACTTAGAGAAAACTTGAGGTGGGAAACATGATTGTATTGCTTCTTCAGCTGTTTTCACTTCTGTGGCCTCGTAATATGAGCATCTTCCTACCCCAAGTGTGACTTCAGTAGACAGATACATAATCATATGCCATAGTCTCTAAAATAATCCAATTGCTTCCTCTGATATTCAGCCAAAGAAACAGTGATGTATTCTAATTCAGAAACAAAAAAAAGAAAAGAAAAAAATTGCTTTATTGGAATTTCTTAGAAGTATATGTGCTTAAAGAATTTTTAAGGGTAATTTTAAATGTCTACTTTTTTCCTCTTGTCTGAGGAGTGTAGAACCTTGTCCCCAAAGAAAGATTCAGGTCCACACGCATGTGTAGGAGGGGTGGTGGGGCACAGAGAAAAGTAAGCACTCTGATGTCAGAGGATGGGAAATTGAGAAACAGTCACTGTTACTTTCATGCTGTAAAACTTTTGATACATGATTTAACTTTGAAGGTCTCAGGTTCCTCATGTAGAGAATGAAATTAATACCTGCTTCATCAGGTTAGTAACGTAAGTACGATCATACATAGGGAATCTCTTCACACCTAACAATACCAGATTCTTATTTGTGCCTCACACAGTTCTGTTCTCCATAGATTACTGTTGCAGGGTTCTTGTCTTACGGAGTCGAAGAATGAATCTGTCAGACAACTGGGTGAAGTGAAGTGAAAGTTGATTAAGGGAAGGTGAGAACAGAAAGGAAAGAAAAAGAGTTCTCTAGAGTGAGGGGGCCTGAATGGGTTGCCATTGAGGGGTTTTATGGTCAGTCTTTTACAGAAAACTGACCAGGGCACTTGGCAAATACCTTGTCTATAACATTGAAGACAAACAGGTGGCTTTGTAAATATGAAAATATCTTGCCAATATTTAGAACAGACAAGGTGGATTTGTTGTTTCCTTTTCTCTGGTTAATATCTTGTCTATAACATTTCTCCACATTTGGGATTTCTGTGAGCCTGGTTAGGTAGTCCCCAACCTGTCTCTCCCTAGCCTCACCTGTCCCTTACTCATTAGTAGAGTTACTTTCTGAGTTTTAAAAATTTGAAAATAATGTAAGTGATGGATGACATTTGCCTTCAGCCAGAACTACAAGGTTTTATATATTACATATAATTATATAATATAATATAAACTATAAGTGTATATAAATAGCTGAGTTGCTATTTTTGCTAACATGCTTTCATTAGATAAGAAGCATAAGATGAAAAGGAGGTTAAGTTTTCATATTGTCCTATGTATGTATTGTGTGTGTATGGAGAGAAAGAGAAGGAGAGAATGCGAGTGAGAGAGAGTATAAGCTCATTGATGTTTCTGTGTACTGCTAGCAGGCTTGAAGGGGTTACTTCCATTCTTCCTGAACAGCTTGACTTTGAAGATTAGGATTCTTCTCTTTTATAAATGTCTTTAAGAGTTTCACCTGGGGCGCCTGGGTAGCTCAGTCAGTTAAACCTCGAACTTCAGCTCAGGTCATAATCTCAGGATCTTGGGATCAAGCCCCACGTGGGATCAGGCCTTGCATGGGTGCTGTGCCTCAGCAGGGAGTCTGCTTGAGATGCTCTCTCTCCCTCTCCCTCTGCCCTCCCATGCACGCTGTCTCTCTCTCAAATAAATAAACAAATCTTTTAAAAAAAGAGTTTTACCCTTTCAGGATACTTTAGTTCCGAACCTTACTTTCAACTTAAGTCCTAAAGCAGTTCTACTTATGGAACTAGAGTGTGAGGTGTATCCATCAGGCACATAGTCAAGAACGTGTGAACAATCCTTTATCATACTCTGATAGAACAAGTCAAGACAATGATCTCTGAGGAAAAGAACCATCCTCCATTAGGAGGCCATATAATTCATTTGGAACATGGAAGCCTAGGCACACTTTCTCTAAACTGTCAAAGAAAACCTCAGTAATTCTCTCATGTAGTCATTGGACATTTAAATATGCATGGATGCTGTTCCTTGTTGAACTTTCAGAGAGGACGGTAACGTGATTTTCTCAGATGATGAGATTTTTGTAAAACAGTTATATTTGCATAAATTGCCCTGTTTATTTGAATGAATGCACATGCAATAGCAACAAAAACAATTTATTGTTTCATATCATAAGAATGAGAGATTATTCACTCCCAATGCACTTTAATATTCAGGTCAACATAATAACCTAAATAGCCTAAATTAGACATACAGACTCCTCTTTCTAAAGCGAAGGTAAAAGTAAATGATTATGATAGCATTTACAGCATTAATATATCCTAGACTTTTGAATCAAATTTGGTTCAAAGATTATGAGAACAAGTACATCACTATGACTTTCAAGTTTGCCAGACAATTTTTAGGAGAATCCCATGACCACTGCTTCACAATATGACACAAACAGTAATGATTTGCTACTGCCCATGGTATTATGACAGATGTCAACTTTTCAAAATCTGAAATAACAGATGAACTATCCCTTTGGTCTTTCATGACAGTTACTTAGTACAGATATCTCAATTGGTCTTTTTTTTTTTTTTTTAAGATTTTATTTATTTA